TGATCCACGCGCGAGCATAGGTACCATTGCTCCTCTGCGAAAGGAGCACACCTGCGAGAGCAGGGTGTTCTAGTTAAGAAATCTGAGTTATAGGCTGCACTTAAAAGGCTTGAATAATTGTTTGGTTCAACATGGTTAACACCCAATAAGACACCCAAGGTTGACATCCTTATATCCTGAATTTAAAATCCAATTTTATTATTTGTTTCTCACGATTTTTCTCTTCACAACACTTAATCGTTTTAGCTTGAATTTGATCCTATAGAAGTAAAGTGTATTATTTGGTCTATGTGGATTTGATCCTAAAGTGCTACATCGACATACCATTCGATTGTGGTAGTGTGCACATTAGGTTAATTGGTGTGCGTTCGCACGTAATATCATGTTGTTGCAACAACAAAAACCTGTAGCTTACTTTAGTAGAAGGTTATCTTAGAGGGAGCCGTTAAAACCCATTTATGAGAGGGAACTAATGGCGATTGTTATGGCAGTGCAGAAGTGGAAGCACTACTTAATGGGAAGGAGATTCATTGTGTTTACGGATGAGAAGAGCTTGAAGTTTTTACTGGAACAGAGAGATGTGTCTATGGATTATCAACATTGGTTGACTAACTTGTTGGATATGACTTTGACATTATCTATAAGGCGGGAGTTGAGAACAAAGTGGCTGATAGTTTATCGCGTATTGTCACTGAGCCTATGACTTGTCAGCAGTTGTTATTCCACGCTTTGACATTGACTACAAGCTTGCAAATGCAAGACATATTGGAGGAGGTAGACAGTGATCAAGGGATTCAGAAGACGATAAGAGAGTTCGTGAAGAATGGGGTGACTAAGAAACTTTACTGAGTTGTTAAGGGACAATTATTCTATAAGGATCGCTTGGTTTTGCATCAGAATTACGTACATATTCCATTGATTTTGAAGGAGTATCACGATGGGGTAGTAGGTGGTCATTATTGTGTGCTAAAGACTACTAAGCGGATTCAACGGCTATTTCATTGGCCAAATTTGAAGAAAAACGTACAAGATTATCTATCTGAGTGTTCGATATGTCAAACCCATAAATACTCAACTCTGAACCCAGCTGGTTTGTTGAATACTATACCATTACCAACGAGAATTTGGGAGAAGATATCATTGGACTTTATCGATGGTCTTCCTAAGTTGTCAGGGTTCAGCGTTATTTTTTTCGTGGTTGACCGTTTGAGCAAGTATGGCCATTTTATCAGCCTGAAGCATCCGTATACAGCAATCTCTGTGGCTGAGAATTTTGTGCAGGAGATTTTCCGTTTACATGGCTATCCGAACTTGATTATTTCTGATAGAGATCAGGTGTTTTTGAGCAGTTTTTGCAAGGAATGCTTTCGCTTGGCTGGAACTCATTTGAAGTTTAGCACCGCCTATCATCCACAAATGGATGGCCAGACCAAAGTGTTGAACAGATGTTTGTAATCTTATCTGAGGTGTTTTACTTCCTCTCATCCAAAGCAGTGGGTGAAATACTAAGCCTTGGCTGAGTTCTGGTTCTATCATTCGTCCTTAAAGACATCTCCGTTTCACATTGTCTATGGACGTGAACCACCTGATTTGTTGAGGTACGAGGAAGGATCCACAACTAACTTTGAGTTGGAGTCAATGTTGAAAGAAAGAGATCGTATGTTGGTTTAAATCAAGGGACATCTAACTAAAGCTCAGGATTCGATGAAGAACAATGCCGATAAGCATAGGAGGGAGTTTGTTTTTGAAGTGAGAGCATTTGTGTATTTGAAGCTAAGACCATATCGACAGAACTCATTGGCTAAACGTTTCTGCCAGAAGTTGGCAGCTCGTTTTTATGGCCCCTTTCAAGAGTTGGAGAAGATTGGTCCAGCTGCTTATCGGTTGAAGCTGCCTGAAGACTGTAAAATTCATCCAGTGTTTCATGTGTCACAGTTGAAACCAGTCTTAGGAAAGGATCTTGTGGTGACTCCATTGCCATCTCTGTTTTCAAATTCAAATGAGTTGGCCATGGAGCCTGAGCAGATTGTGATGACTCATTATGATGAGAAGGGTCATCTAGAAGCGTTGATTCAATCGAAGGGCTTACATGGGTATGAGCAATCCTGGTTGAGAGTTAAGGATGTGGCGTTGCAGTTTCCAAACTTTAAACTATAGGACAAGCTTAAGCTTGAGGGTGGGGGGTATTGATAGACCCTCGAGGGTGTATTACGGGAAGAGAAACATGAAGGTTGTGAGACGTGAAGAGGAAGTATGCAGAGAAGAGACTGGCGGGGATGAGTTTGCAACAAAGACTTATTGAAAACGCATAAGTAAATAATGAGAAGATGGAGGACTAGATAATAAATGTCTTGAAACATGAAGGTTGCTACAGAGTCGTTTGTGAAGTTTTTTAGTGGACATCTAAGATCGAGAGAGGATTTTCTCTGCGATTCAGTGACTCAAGAAGAAAGTTTCTCGAGTAATTCTGTAACAGACTTTGATATTCAATAAAGTCGTTGCTTATTGTTTATCACACACCCTCTACCAGACGCCACACCATAGGTGAAAAGAGACCAACGAAGAGCTCCGCGACACTGCACGTACCTCCAAAGTGTCTCCAAAACTGATTGCCAACTACTTTCATTTTTCTTTTTCTGGTTTTTATGTTTTCTCTTTCAGTTTTAGCTTGTCCCATGTTGTCGAGTGCAACAATACACCTAAATGCGTAAGTACTAAACTTAATCCTCAACTAAAAATCAAAGTCGTCACTGGTCTGCGACGACGCACCAGATTTTGGTACTCTGAATTTTTACCTTAAATTTGAGAGACTATATACACAAGACCTTGGAAATTCAAGGAAGGAATTTATATACAAAAGTGCTGAGAAACTCCTGTTGGCTTACAGAAAATAGGATTTAGGTGGTTAGACTAGCAAGTTCAGATATGGACATTTTTTTGCTTGTTCTATTGTTCGTCACTATCAACGGTTTCCTTACAGCCTCCTTGATGTTATTTTGTCTTGAATGGTTCACGTCAAAATTGATATCACTCAAATTACTCTAAGGAGTGACTTTACTCTCTCAAATAAGAGGTTCAGTTATAGTATTTAGAGATCGGATTCACAGGGAGCTTGGACACACAATAAGCTCAAACAGTCACGATTAAGTTGGGCTAACATGTTATAAATCAGTGAATAAAGTGAAGCAGTTTGATTGAGGTTGTAAACAATATAATAAAGACGCTTGGTTTAGAATTTTCAGGTAGTGAGTTATAACGGATTAAATGCTAAGGAATTTTCAATCATAGAAGATAAATTTAATTGGCAAAGATATCAAATTATATTTATCTAAGATTAGGTTCCAAGTATACAACTTTTGTAAGCAGAATCGGATTGACCGTCGATCGATGGTATGTATGTGACATCGATCAATAGCTTTCTTAATCGAGCACTAATTCGACCAGATTTGGTTAATCACTTAAAACCACCAAATGAACTCTCGTTTGTTTATAGTCTCTAAGCTCACAATAGATTATTCAAGAATTAATTAAGCAATAACAATATTCTCAATACTCTCGTTCATAGTTATAGGTAGCTAATCTTGAACACAATAATTAAGCAATCTATTAATGATAGATCTAATAATCACCTTAGAGATTCTATTTTTTTGGCTAACCCATCAAAATCTTTAATAAGTCCTAAATTTATAGGAATCTACTTAAGCATGATAATTGTAACAGAAATCATAGATGAATAAAATATAATAGAATAATAATGGATAAGAAGATCACATGAGTTCCAGGAGAACTCTGAAGGAGTTCCTCCCTTCTCACCTAACTCTAGAACTATGAATAAAAGAAAGTGTTGCCGTCAATAATGGCTTAGAAAACACATAAATAGGATAAAAGTCATGCAAAGGCATTCTAGTAATAATTGGTGACTTCTGAGCCCAAGCCGGTCATGAAATAGACTATGCACGTGTATTCGGATCACTGTCGATCGATGGAAAGGCTGTGCCGACGATCGACGATCCTTCATATCTTCAACAATTTCGTCCCGCGAGATAGATGTACCACTCTTCAGTTAAACAAGCATAACTTTAGGTCTAACTATCAGAAGAACTTCAAACCGGTGGTATTGGAAATTAACTCAAAGATATCTTGTATCAAAAGATGGGTTCAATCACACTGTTGAAAAGTCTTCATTCATAGATAATCATCTGATGTGTCAGTGTAATTTTGCATCTCAATAAACTCTAAAATCACCAAAATTCTCTAGAACATAACTGAACTTGAAAACTCTCTAAAAATAATCCAAACCCATATAATAGATTCAATAGAGATTATATAACCATGGGTAAAAAACAGATAAAATCGATGATATATCAGAAATCAATAAAATTCTAGTGTCTTCTTGTTTTCGCGTTTATAAGTACGATAAGAATCTAGATTCTCAAAGTTACGCTTTCTTCCATTATAAATTTCGGAAATGCGTATTATTCTCATAATACTTTTGGAATATTTGGACTATTTTTCTTATGTTAGTTTTTATAGGCATAACACATTTCTGTGTATAGAAAAACGAGTTTTGATTACACTTTTTTGTTGTTAAGAAGATTACACTTCACTATAATCAGATACTATTGTGTATCTGCATATATGTGTGTAAGCGGGTGTGTGTGATGATAGGTGGTTAGGACGAATGTCCTAAAAGATCTCAACAATAATAACACACGCATACCAGTATAAATGGAACAAAAAAGTTATTAAAAAAATGAACTTGTGAATTGAAGTTGAAATAATAAATATATAAATAAACATAAGTTCTCATATACAACCACATGTACTTACAAAAATATGTATATCAGTCGTACTTATATATACATATATGTATAAATATATATAAATATATACATATATATATAAGTATGTATTGATATAAAAGAAAGGAAAGACATCATGACGGTTTTATATAAGAAAAAAAGAAGGATCAATGGAAAAGAATATCATTATAAATTTACACCCCGCCTCTGCATCGGTGAATACTTGAGCAACCGCGACGGTATTTGTTGGCAGGGACACGAGGTCCATGATGAGGAGGATGACATCCCGCTGGAGGATTAAGACGACGGCATGGGTTAAAGATATGGGGACTTAAATATTTCCGGGCTAGTTTAGCCTCTGATTGCTCAGCAATCACAGCGGCACAAATCACCAACATTAATATCACACATGCCTTCATTTTCTCTTCTCGGGGGAAAATGATGTTTGATTTTTCTTCTTTATGCTTTTTGTGTGTATTAAGTGAAATATTTGTTTATATACACAAAAAATTAGAGCGTACACTAAATATAGCCAATCCTTGTTTGGAAAATTCACAATCTAAATTAAAGATGCTAAAACTGAAAACCTACTGTCTTAAATCCAAGGTTGTGTTTGGTTTTGGTTTCTATGTTTAGTAATATAGTAAAATACATTTTTTGTTTGATAAACAAAATATAATTTTTTATTGAAAGAAAGTTAGATACAATATGATTTGCAATACGAGAATTCGGCAAAAAGAAACACGAACTTTGCATGAATTGCCAAAAGAAACCTGTACTCAAGTCTCGCAAAAAAAAAACTGTACTTTTGTTGACTTTGTTAGTTTATTAAGTAACTTACTATAGATTCACCATTTTGACACAACGTTAATGAGCCGTTAAGACTGTGTTAACTCGACGTTCAATATAAGCATTAAGTGAAAAGACGTTGTTTTCAAATGAGATGATACATGATTTGAAAATAAAAACAAGTAGATCCTTGAATTCAAACTCGGGTTGATTGGATTAAATGGAAAGGTACTCTAACACAAGGCTAGTGGCACTATCAATGTATTTACTAACACAGTTAATTTTATTTGATACTGATTGAATATATAAAGAATTCTCAAAAAACTTAAAAGAATCTTTAAAATTAAAATAAAACTGAAAATAAAGAAATTTTCTATAAAATTAATTTTAAATTAGAATTAAAGTAAAATTTTATTTTTATTAAAAAAATTAAAAAAATTTCCAATTTTTTTTTAAAAAAAAAAGAATTGGTAAACAATTGAAATTAATTATACACATATAAAAAGACCCACATATTAAAATTAAATTAAACTACTTAAAATAAATATTGTACCCATTATTAGTGCAATTTTAATTTTTAGCTGATACATGTAACTTTAATTATTTGCTTTTTCTTTGAATTTTTAATTTTTTGGGAATTAAAAAAAAAAAAATTGAAAATTTTGGGAGATTTTTTTTATTTATTAAAGAAAACATAAAATTTCTTTTTAATTTTAGTTCCAAAATTAATTTTATAAAAAAAATCTTTAATTTTTCAAATTTTTGAAGTTTTAAAGATTTTTTAAATTTTTGGAGAATTTTTTTATATTCAATTAGTACCCATAAAAGTAAATGTGTTAGTAAATATATTAAAAGTTCCACTAGCCTAGTGGTAAAATACCTTGCCATTTGATCCAATCAAAACAAATAAAATAATTTTTTTTTCTTAATAAAAATCAAAATATTCCAAAATTTTAATTTTTAAAATTATTTTTTTTCATTATACACACATAAAATTTACCCACATATTAAAATTAAATTAAAATGCTTAAAATAAATATTATACCCATTATGAGTGCAATTTTAATATTTAGCTGATACAGCCGTTCGTTGTCAAAAAAAAAATATTTATCTGATACATGCAAATTTAATTTTTTGCTTTTTCTTTGAGTTTTAATTTTTTGGAATTTAAAAAAAAATTAAAAATTTTGGAAGATTTTGGATTTTTTTAAAGAAAAAATAAATTTTATTTTTAATTTTAATTTCAAAATTAATTTCATAAAAAAAAATTTTTTTTTTCATTTTTTTCAATTTTAAAGGTTTTTAAGTGTTTAAACATTTTTTTATATTCAATCAGTACCAATAAAAGTAAATGTGTTAGTAAATATATTGAAAGTACCATCAGTCTAGTGGTAAAATATCTTGTCATTTGATCCAATCCACCCGAGTTCATATCTAAGGGTCTACTTCTTTTTATCAAATCACGTAAAACGAAGTCGTTTCATCTCATTTGAAAATGACGTCATTTCACCTAACGCCAACATTAAACGACGTCAAATTTTTCTGTTAGATTTGGTGACAGCGTGATAAATTGGCAAGTCAACGAAAACATTGTTAATTAATTCTAAAGTTGCAACTCAAGAATAATAATATTAGAGAAAAAAAAACTCTGTGACGATAGAAATGGCGATTGTGAAGATCGGGTAATGATTAGGCTTCCATCCGTGATTTCGGTGGATCTCGTGGTCAGGGTTGGCTATTCTCTCTTCTCTTTCAGAAGATTACGGTATCTGCAGTTTAATGGGGGGGGTATCAAGAGGTTTCAATGGTACGATTTGATAGGGCTTTGTCTCTCTTCGGGCAGATCTATCAAGAATGATTGTGGTTGGCTCTGGGTTGGAAAAGATCTCGGAGATCGGAGGTATCTTGGCGTAAATCTGAGGGATTGTGTGGCTATTGATTTCACAGATGATTTCTGCGATCTGAGTTGGTATGGAAATATCCTTTTATTTTTCCTTCCTGGATTGTCTGCGATTTCATCTTTTAGAATTCTAATTACTACACTTCCGAGTTTGAAAAGGATGAAGATTCAAAAAGGTTTTCATTAATTATCAATGAATTTTGATTTCTTTTTTCCCTTCAATGGGATTTTGTTCTGCAAAATCATTTGGTGTTTATTGGTGTGAATATGGTAGATTTGGGTCTCAAAGGATTTCATTTTTCTGATTTTATTGGATTTGATAGGGTGATTTGGTATCAAAGATTTTATTTCTATATTGAGTTTACAGATTCTTTGTTCAGGTTATATATGGTGAACAACTGCAAGAGTATTGTCATTGCAAAAACTTGTTTTACATTGCTTTCTTTGTTGGTTTTCATCTCTCTTTCTCATGTGGTTCTCATCATGTCGCAGGGTCATTGGGTTACAAAATCTGGTTCCAAGAAGATCGATGAGAAGAAACCAGGAATCAGGATTTCGATCCCAAAATTTGACAACTCAGAGCTCATTGCTAGCTATTCCAAGACTCTCATTGGACGTTGTATGAATCCTCTGAAGCAAGATTTGAAGACTCTCTTGTTCATTTTTCCGAGAATTTGGGGTGTGGAGGGTCGTGTGGTCGGTTTGGATTTGGGATTAGGGCGTTTCCAATTCAATTTTGACTTGGAAGAAGATATTGTGGAGGTGCTAAAAATGGAGCCATTCCATTTTGATTTGTGGATGGTGTCCTTGGTGAGATGGAGACCGGTGCTTGAGCCAAACAACCCATCACGAATCACGTTTTGGGTCTGGATTCCGGATATGCCTCTACAATTTCTTGTTCCTCAGATTTTTCAAGGTGTGGGAGAAGCTCTTGGTCAGGTACAAGCGCCGGTGGATCTCGTGGAGGGAAGGGTTCGTGTCGAAATTGATGCTTGTAAGCCCTTGGTTTTTTCGGCTACCATTGAGATAGGGGAAGGTGTGGAGATTGTGGTAACACTCAAGTATGAGAAATTGGTTGGCTATTATACTGAGTGTTTTCATCTTACACATGACCAATCCCGGTGTCCTAAGCTTCTGAAAGATGAACCAGAAAGCTCTAGGGGAAGTGGTGGCATCACTGATGGTGTGAGTACCAAAAGTTATAAACTGCTGTTGCTAATGGAGCTAGACATAATGATGTTCGCAGGGGAGGATTACAACACCGTCATCAAGGGTCTCGAGGGGGCGACAAGGACAAGGGCATTGCTTTGGAAAATCAAGGGAAAGGTAAAATGGAAGGGAACTATCACCCTTACAGAGGAAAGGGTTTGAGAGGCTACAATGATGGTGAAATACGGACAGGAAATTACTCAAGGGGAGACACACAAGCTGTGGGTGGAGGAAATCGAGTTCTGGAAAACCCAGAGAAATTAATGCTTGATGCATTTAAAGGTGACAATGGAGTGTTTGCAGTGGAAAGGCCAGTTGCGGTGACTGGAAATTGTGAGGGATATTCTTCTAAGGCTTGTAGAGCATTGATCTTTGAGGAGCAGGAACCAGGACAGTCAATGGAGGCCAATCCACAGGACAGTGTAGTGGTTAAGGATTGTGAAGAGGAGAAGATTGCGACGGAGCTCATGAGATCGTCTGCAGATGATGCAAATTTGATGGGGGAGGGTTTTTTACTCTCTGATTCGGATCTTTTGTTGGAGGATGGTGAATTAGAGGAGTGGGATCAAGGAGAGGATAAAGAGTTTATGGAAGACGGAGGTGTGGATGTTAATCAAAACGTCTTGGAGGTGAGTATGACTGGTACTCATGTTCACATGAATGTCACTGGGGGGAAGAGGCATTAGGTGGAGAGGAAGGTCCGATTGATGTTCCTCAGGATGCCAAAGTGGTCGCTGGAGTAGACGGACCATCTAAGAAACGTAGTGCACCGGTCTTTGTGTCTCCTCAGAAGAGATTACTGGACAAGGCGGCAGCTAAGGCGGGGGAAACAGATCCACAGATGTTGGTGTTTCAGGTTTTATGTACTCAGGATTTTGGTGATTACTCCACTCATACGAATATGGAGGAGTTTATTCTGGTTATTATTGGTCTATGTTATAGGTTTCAAGAGACCCTTATTGATGGGGAGACTGTGAAAGTAAAGGTTTTGGCCATATGGGGTCCAACATGGCAGGAGTTTCGGGTGAATAGGTTTGATACGGTAATGTTTTTGGGGTGTCTTATGCAATGGTGGAAGTGGGGGTTGTTTGTAATTGGGTTTTATAGGTGTCTACGGATGCGCTATGGTTATGTCCTCGTGCTGGTAAACATATGGATAAGGGCTTTGGTTATGACCCCTTGGAAAATGTCACGAAGTGTCTTTCAGTATAAGCTTAAGGAAGATACAAGCTTATATTTTTTCAAGTTTTATCGTTGTCTCAGGTTACATGGTTTGTTTTTTTGTCAAATTAATTCCCACAAGTACAGAGATGAGGTCGCGTTGGTTAATGGTCACCGGTTTGGGCTTAGTGTAGAGACACTTGGACATCAGTCAGGATTACAATTGTTTTGGCTTTTTCCTTTATTTAATTTACAGAACATTGGTTGTACGATGGTGAATGGCACCACTTGTTTATCCAAACTGAAACCTTCTTTTCAAGGGACTTCAAATTGGAAAGATGAAGGTTTTTTATTATATATCATTATTGCATATGAAAGGTTTGGTGTTATGGTGTTGCATGATTTCAAGTTGACTTTTTATATTGGTATTGGGGGATTTCATGGTTTAATAAGAGATAATATTAGGTCTCTAATTCACTGTTATTGGGATATTAAAAAACAACATGAATGGAATTTCTATGTACTAAGCCGGATCCACAAAGACAAATAAGGATTTCTGGTTCATTATGGTTTAGGGTTATTTTAATATTTTTAATTGCTGGTCCCATGGTTTTGTCTCTGCAAAATTTCAATGGCGGACAAGTTGTTTGGTACTTTCTTGGTTTTTGTTTAAATTTTATAGGTTTAATGATTTGGGTATCATGAACTATTAATATGGGCTCTAAGGAGCTTCCTTAACAATTAATTTTTAATGAGTATTTTGAGTTAGAATTGTCGGGGGGAGGGGGGGGCTCGGATACCGTTCAACGAAGAAGGGATTTACGACGTCAGTTTTTTCCGGACTTTCTTTTCTTATGGAGACTAAACAAAAGTTAGCCTATATGGATGCTTTTAAAATCAAGATTGGGGTATGATGGGTTATACACGGTGGAACCCATTAGTCGTAGCGGCAGTTTGGCTTTAATGTGGAAAGGTTGTTATGCAGTTGAGATTCTTTCTAGCAATAATAGAATTATTGATTTTAAAGTGACAATGGGTTCCATTTTCTATTTCCTTTCTTGTGTATATGGGGATCCTGTAAGCAGTAGAAGACGTTATGTTTGGGATAATTTAACGGATATTGGAGTGGTTAGAGATGAGGCATGGATCTTGGTTGGTGATTTTAATGAACTTATGCATAATGGGGAAAAATTGGGAGGAGCTATTAAAGATGAAACCACATTTTTTGATTTCCGGAATATGGCGGAAGCATGTAAAATTAGGGAGACAAGGACCACGGGAAATACCCTTTCATGGGCAGGTATGCGGGATGATAATTGGGTTCAGTGTCGTTTAGACCGGACTTTTGGTAATGATGAATGGTTTCGTCTCTTCCCGCAATCGTCTACGGATTATATGAGTATGTGGCCTTCGGATCATCGACCTCTACATTTAGAGTTCGCCCTTGAGCCTGAGAATTTGCAAAGGGGGCGTTTTTATTTTGATAGACGTATGCATGATAAAAGACGGGTAGAGGAAGCCATTGTACGTGGATGGGACGTAGAGAATATTGATTCAAATCTTAGCTTTTGGATCGTATTGCTCGGTGTCGGTCAGAATTGTCTAAGCTTAAAAAGACTTCTGACTGGAATTCCAAAACAAGAATAGAACAGTTACAGAGTGATTTGGACAAAGAAAGCTCCAAGCAATTTCCCATTTATGGTTTGCTCAGGCGGTTAAGAAATGATTTGGGTACGGCCTATAGGGAAGAGGAGATCTTTTGGAGGCAAAAAAGTAGAGAAGAATGGTTATGGAAAGAGATAGAAATACAACATATTTTCATAATGTGTTGAAAGGGAAAAAAATGAGAAATAAAACTTTTATGCTGAAAGATATTTTCGGAAATGAAAGTTATTCCAAAGGGTCTAAAGGACATATTGCTACTGAATATTTCAGAGAGCTGTCTACAAGTTCAATTCCAAGTGATTTGGAAACTTTGTTCGATGGTTTTCAAAGTAGAGTTACTTTAGAGATGAACTCATTGTTAACTACAGAGGTTTCGCATGATGATATCAAGAATGCAGCCTTCGGTATTAAACGTAGTAGTGCCGCTGGAGAAGATGGTTTGACTGGTTTTTTCTATTAAAAATATTGGCACATTGTGGGGCCGAAAATTATTAATGATTTTCAAAGATTTTTCCAAACAGCCGTGCTTCCGGCAGGATGGAATCACACACAGCTATTTTTGCTACCAAAAATTTTACATTATACGTAGATGAAGGATATGCGGCCCATTAGTCTTTGCAGTGTTCAATATAAAATTATTTCTCGCATTCTATGTAATCGAATGATGTTGGTTATGCCTAATATCATATCCGAGACTCAAGGGACTTTTGTTAGAGGCAGGTTGATTACTGTTAATATCATTATAGCTCATGAACTGGTTCATGGGCTACGTACTAATGATAAAAATGGTAAAGAGAGTATGGCTATTAAGACTGATATGTCAAAAGCATATGACCGGGTAGAATGAAATTTCCTTGAAGTCTTATTAGAGAAAATGGGTCGTTTGGATAATGTCATGTATTTCTATTGTCACTTTCTCAGTGTTACTCAATGGACGCTCTGATGGATTTATTAAACCGGAAAGAGGATTACGTCAGGGTGATCCTTTATCCCCTTTTCTTTTTATTTTATGTGCCGAAGCTTTAGTCCATGTCTTAAATAGGGCTGAAGGACAAGGGAATTTACATGGTATAAAATTACCTTCGGGAAGCCCTTCTATTCATCACCTGCTTTTTGCTGATGATAGTTTGTTGTTGTGTGAAGCCTCTGTTAGGGATAGCGATGAAATTTTGAAAGGTCTCAAACTCTATGGTGATGCGTCTGGGCAAATAATTAATCCATTGAAGTCTTCCATCATTTTTGGGGAAAAAATTGATGCTGACACCAAACAGGCTATAAAGGGAGTTTTGGGCATTGAGAAAGAAGGGGGTGAAGGTTCATATCTAGGCTTACCTGAGTGTTTTCAAGGTTTAAAAAAAGATCTCTTAAATTTTATCAAAGAAAAATTGGAAGGAAGGTTACATGGCTAGTATTCGAAAACTCTGTCAATGGGGGCTAAGGAAGTTTTAATAAAATCAGTTGCTCTAGCCCTCCAAATGTATGCTATGTTAGTATTTCGCTTACCAAAAGGTCTTTGTGAAAGAATTACGAGTGTGATTATAGAGTTTTGGTGGAGTAGTGGGGATAAAAAGCGAAATCCCATGGGTTTCATGGGAAAAGCTTTGTAAACCAAAAGAACAGGGAGGTCTTGGGTTTCACGATATTGGGAAACAAGCTTGGCGAATTTGGAACAATCCGGATTCTTTGGTTTCTCGGATTCTAAAAGGTAAATATTTCAAATCTGGAAATTTTCTTGAATGTGGAATGGGGACAAGACCGTCATATGCATGGAGCAGTATCATGCACGGTCGAGTGTTGCTCAAAAAGGGTTTGTATCGTCATATTGGCAATGGGGCTGATACGAAAGTTTGGGCTGAAAATTGGATTATCGACACAATTCCAAGGCCTCCAATGTATCGTGAGAATAGTTCGATAAACTTAGCACTTAATTAAAGTATCAGATTTGTTACTTCAGGGGTCAAATCAATGGGATATCCACTTGCTACATCAAACTTTTACACCACAGGATGTTCAAAAGGATTCTCCTTCTTAAGCCATCGATAGTAATTGAAGATTCGATCAGATGGGGCTTCACACCAAGTGGTTTTTATTCTACACGTAGTGGGTATAAGTTATTAGAGGCTGTGGTGGATTTTGATCAACCTCAAGGACACTCTCTTACTCCTGTTGAACGACAACTATGAAGAGATCTGTGGAAGACTAAAGCTCCACCAAAAATAAAACATTTTATGTGGCGTGCTTTATCTGGTGCATTAGCAGTTAAGCAACGCTTGACTACTCGGGGTATTCCGATTGATCCAACATGTTCTGTTTGTGGTAATGGTCTTGAAAGTATCTGTCATGTTCTTTTTACATGTGATAGAGAACGAGAAACATGGGAGCATTCAAATTTTCCAGTACCTTTAGGAGGGTTCTCTCGGAATTCCACTTTTTAAAATTTTTTGCATTTGAACAAGATTCTTAAGAGTTCTTCAATGAATATTCATACAAGGAATGTTTTCCCATAGTTGTTATGGAAAATTTGGAAAGCTAGAAACGCTTTCGTCTTTGAGTCCAAGAGGATCGAGACAACATTCATTGCTAGAAAAGCCTATGAAGAAGAATCCACATGGTTTGATACTTTCACTGGTATGAAGGAAGGAATATATGAGGTCGAAATGGAAACGATTAACTGGAAAAAACCGCCCAATGGTTTCCTCAAATGTAATGTTGGATCCTCATGGGTAAATTCAAGCCATATTGCTGGTGCTTCTTGGATTTTACATGATGAAAAAGGGTCTACAATCTTGCATAGCCGTTGTGCTTACTCATGTATGCGCACAAAAACATAAGCAGAATTGTAGGCTCTTTTTTGGGCAGT